ATGAGGATGGAACAGAGAGGATGTCACCTCTCCTAGCTGATGACCTCATTCTGGTTTTGATTAACTTTTCCTGTCTTCCTCTAGAGAGGCAATATGAGTCTACTAGGGAAAATATGGAAAACAGAAACAGAATACTACAAGCATAAGAAATGAATCAATTGCTCACAACCTAAAATAAGCAGTTACTAATGGATTTCCCTTTTTGATTAAAAAATTGTAGCTAAAATGCAAAACATAAAACAAAATCAAATATTTTTTTAAGAAATTGTAGCTATCACCATCATAATACACTCTATTTTATATCCATTTTCTGCAGAACTGACAAGTTTAAGGTGAATGGATGTTAAAATGAGCGTATTAAATTGTCTTCACTGATGGTTGCACAGTTCTGTGAATTCACTAACAATAATACATGTTAAGTGTATAAAATAGTAAATATTAAATCCGTGGTTGTACAGCACATAAGTTCTATCTCAATAAAGATACTGAAAATGACATCCTTGCCAGTCCTCAGATGTCTGTCTCACTCCATCACTTACTTAATCACTCAATTAGACAACATGTCTGGTTTTCTTCAGTATTATAGTTGAAGCTGATACCAGCAGGTAACCATACACCAAAGTGTAATGAATGCTATATTCTTTTTCCACAAGTTTCACAGAAGGAGTTAAGGTTGTAAAGGACCAATAGACTTAACTAAAGAAAATGGTTACTCACCCAAACCCTGGGCACCAAAAATAAATAACAAAAAGCAGTTCCAACTGAAATAGTAAACACTAAGTCTGGGGACAGAGGAAGGGAAAAAACACTTTTTAAAGAGCAGGTGCTCTAATGCTGGGCCACAGCTGGGCTACATATCAGATGGCGCCAGGTCAGAACCACACACTGGTTTTTATGCCTGAAAATAGTCTAAGGCAAAGGAATATAATTCCAGTCCTAACAGCTGGGCACTGTAGCATCCTAATGCTTAGGAACATATGTGGGGTTGGACAGAGCCATGCTCAAATCCAGGCATAAACTAAGACCAACAGACACGGAGCACATTAATCCTCAGTGTGTCACATGTAAATCGGGAATGGCATACCATGACATCAGGATGAATCTAAAGGTCAGCTAAGCCAGGATAAGCTCTGGAAGGACTCTGCCCCAATAGATACCCATAATAAGTATCAATAAATACTCATGAAGACAGAACTGAAAACGAAGATGATGTCAGCTGTTTTTGATTACACTGAAACACAGAAGCCCACGTCTCAGCCCTCCAGTTTTTTTTTTTTTTTTTTTTTGGCTTGGGAACTACAGTGTTTTTCTACTGACTCAGGGAGGGCCTGAAGGTATTTTGTTAACATGAGCATTTCAGCTGTGGCCAGAGTTCATTTGTGCAATCTTTACATTCCAATGGACTAAAAGCTTTCTCATGCAGGAATAAAAGCATCCTTTGTGCTAAGCTGGTAAAAGATACCACCTTTGTCAAATGAGTTAACTGTTCAACTTCCAGGGTGTTTCTGCTAGGGCACTTTGGGAAACTGGAGACTCTAGGCACACCCAATGGTGAAAGAAGAGTTTTAGAAAAGTGTTTTTTGTATGTTTTATAGTACCACATTTTGGTATTTATATTTTTATTTCTGTGTGTGTGTGTGTGTGTGTGTGTGTGTGTGTGTGTGTATGTGTGTATGTGCATGAGTGTAGTGCTTGCTGAAGCCAGAAGACGGTGTCAGATTCCCCTGGAGCTGGAGTTACAGGAAACAGTGAGTCACCTAATGTGGGTGCTGGGAACCCAATTTGGGTCTTCTGCAAGAGCTGAGCCATTGCTCCAGTCCCAAGGTAGCACACTTCACATGCCATGAACATTGAGCACTGTTCACATGCCGTGTGCTATAACCCCATAGGTGGGAACTTTTATTTGCCCCACTGTAGATGGAGAACCTGAGTCTTAGCCAAGCCCAGTGTTTTCTCCAGTGAGCAGCAGAGTCAGGATTTGAATCTGTAAGAAACAGTAGATATTAGTCTTTTCATTCAAATCCTGTAAAACTTGGAACTTGGTTTATGACAGGGAATTCTAATCTTTTAATCACACCACTTTTGTTTTAGGAGAGGCCCTGATGTATTCCTGAGCCTAGCTCAAGAATAGTAATGGAGCTCTTCTCTCTTCCCACTGATTCTTTAAACTAGCCAACCAGGAAAGGCTGTGAGGTCAATGGAGAAGGACACAGTCCTCTCGCATCAGGGATAAAAGTCCCCCAAGCTTCTGGGTCCTGTGGGTCCTTGCTGGATCTGATGGATCACACAGATCACCCTTTTGCAAAAGTAAACTCTGTCTTGTGAGTTACTTTCCACTTTGTCCGGATGTTCTGCATTGATGGGGTCCTTGGACCTTGGATTTTATTTCGAACAAACCTATGATTCGCTCTGCTTCACTCACAGGAACTGCTCTGCAGATTTTACTTTTATTTTCTTGTTGGAATGACTTTTACAATATGGACATAATCTGGACTAATGACTTTCACCTAACCTTGCAATCAAAAAAGTTAGCTGTTTATAATAAGAACAAGTTCACTGAGCCTGTGATGGGGCACCTGATCTTAATCCCTCAGGATCCCACTTTGCTCTCCACCCAAGATCGTGAATGAACAGTAGTAGGGGTACTGGATTAACGTATCAAAGCTCTGCAAGCAGTGTGTCTTTCTTATTGAAAGCAATGGGAGAAAATGGAGAAGAAAAAATGATGTTTGGTGTTTTGTGTGTGATTGTAGGCCTCGGATCGAAGGGCGAGACTCTCTGAGGAGATGGGGGTGGCTCCTAGCTTCAACCTTCCTAACTAATGTTGGAATACAGCATCAGTAAAAATAAGAGTGAAGCCAGGCTCCAGAGCACAGCTCTGTGAGGCATCTGAACGAACTGGCAGCTCTCAGGGTCCAGGTCTACTCACTCTTGGCCTTAAAACTAAAGCTAAGAGTCAGACCACTTCTTCATGTAGGTCTAACTTCGATGTGGCTTAGAAATGCTGTGTTTCTGACCAGTAATTTTTGACAAGAAAGGTCACTTAAAAGCACCCAAAAAGGAAGACTGTGTTTGTGTGTGTGTCTGTATATGTTCCTGTGGGTGCAGATGCACATGTATTATATATGCATGTACATATATGCAGGGCCAGAGACCAACCCTGGGTGCCAATGGTTTCGAGACAGGGCCTGGAACTCACCAATTCAGTTACACTGGCTAGCTATGATGTCCGAAGGATCTGCCTTTCTCTGCTTCCCGGTGCTGACATTACAAGCTCTTGCCACCATACCTAACTTTTATATATATGGCTTCTGGGAAATCGAACTCAGATTCGTATGCCCACATGACAAGCACTTTTGCCCCCTGAGCCAGCTCTTGGCCCACAAAGAAGATTTTTCAAAGGAGTAAATTAGAATGTTTTCCTACTCTTCCCCTGGGTTGTCCTGGCAGCTGAATGGTGTTCCAAGAACAACTGTCCTAGTTTGCTTCTCTTTTGCTGTGATAAAACAGGGACCAAAACCAGCATCAGGGAGGAAAGGGTTTATTTCTGCTTACTATTCAGTCCTACTAGAACTAGGGAAGCCAGGTAGGAGCTCAAGCAGGAAACTGGAGGCAGAAACTGAAGCAGTGACCACAGAGGCACAATGCTGCTTACTGACTTGCTCCTCTGACCTTGCTCAGCCTGCTTTCTTATACAACAAAGAACCACCTGCCATGGGTGGCACCACCCACATTGGGCTGGACCCCCCCACATATCACTCAACAATCAAGAAAATACTAGCACAGACATGTCCACAGGCCAAACCCTTAGAGAAAAATTGCCCCTCATTCCAGGTGCATCAAGTTGACCACTGAAGCTATCCAGCACAGTGACCTATACTGTCCCCATGGAACACAAGACTATTTAGCAGCCAATGATATGAATTCTTACATTAGAACCCCGTGGCGTACACAGATCTTTATACTCTCCTTCCTGTCTCTGTAAAGTCACTCGACTTCCATGGGTTTTTGGCATGGTGTGGGAGGATTTATCCTCCAAAATGAGGGAGTTCTGAGAGTGCAGAGAGCTGGCGGTAGATCTACAGGCATAAACTGGCATGCCTGGCCCTAGATTCCCAGGTCCTCCTGGCTGAGTTTTCTCAAGTCTTCACTGAACCGGTATGTCAACTGTACAGGTGAATCAGCAATTAAAAACCCTCTACTTAGAAGAAAATATTTCATGGCTTGTCAGCGGACACAAAGGAGCCACTACTCTAACCACTGGTGAGCCTGCATCTTGGTAGAGCCTCCTGGTGAAAGGAAGTCCTTTGTCCAAATGGGGGAACAAGTAGACTAGAATCCTAAGATTCACTGTGACATTAGGGGAATAGGGAACTCCCAAGGCTGCCCCTCAACATAACTGAGGAAGTCTGAACTTCTGAGGCTCCAGATGATGGTCCTAAAAGGTAATTCCCAACTCTAACCAACTGAAGATTTTACATGCTTTGTTTTGAAAGGGAGGCTTTTATGTGCCCAGGCCCCTTTCCACCCATCCTGGAATTCACTGGAGGGCTGGCTCTGGGTTAGACAGCCCTCCTAACCCTAGCACCCCACAAGGATGATCAGACAAGATGAGTGGCTCTGGCAGGGTGAAAAGGAAGTCTGCGTTCTTCACCCATTCCTTCACCCTGGGTGGAGCAGTGAGACCTTCTCCATATCTTCCAACAAACATAAGGAAAGGCCGGGGTTCAAAACTGAGAAGGGCACACGGGGACCCAGGACCAGCTCTTTCCCTATGAAAGAGGGACTAGGTTCTTAAAGAAAGAACTGAGCACAAAGCACACAGCGCTTTTATCGTGCTAAGTGGTTAAAACACCACCTCAGGTTAAAGACCTTCCTTCCAAAGTTGGGAGGGAGGAGGTGGGACTCTGATGAGCAATGCATGTATTGGCAAGAGAATGAAGTTCCCTCAAAATGTCTATCTAAAGACTCTAACTGGGGTCAACAGAAGCACTACTCACCTTTGGTCTTCACAGCTGTCTCGATGTTCAGAGCGTCTCTTTCGGCATCAAAGTTGGTATAGGCTTTGACCGACCCATAGGCACTTGGGGGTGTGGAGTGCTGAGGTGAAAACACAAACATACTTAAGTGACTACACTGCAAATCCTCTTGCTGACAGAATAAACTCGAAATAGATTCGGTAAATCCTGTTTCTCTTAAAGATTTGAATCGCTCTCATACAGAGTAAACAGGTATCAAAAGGCTACAACACATATTATATAAATATATGAAGGTTCATTTTGAGACTAGGGCTGTAGCTCAGTAGGTAGACAGACTGCCTAGTATACATTAAGCTCTGGGTTCCAATTCCCCCCAACCCATCACTACACAACCTGGTGCAGTGGCCCACATCTGTAATCCTAGCACTCCAGAAGTGGAAGCAGGAGGATCAGAAGTTTAAAGTCATCCTCAGCTACATTATGAATTTGAGACCAACTTGGACCAACATGAGATCCTGAAAAAATAAATTTCACCTTTTAAAAAAAAAATTTTATGTGTATAAGTGTTTTCCCTCCATGAAAGTAAGAATGCCACTGTGTGCAATTGCTACGGAGGCCAAAAGAGGGCATTGGATCTCCTGGAACTGGAGTTAGTCCTTAACAGTCCTTTGGCAGCTGCCATGTGGGTGCTGGGAATCAAACCCAGGTCTTCTGGAAGAATAGCAAGTGTTCTTAACCACTGAGCCATCTCTCCTGCCCCAAGTTCACCGTTTTTAATGAGAATTCTTCTTCAAGGCTCAGCTAATTTAGAAAACACCGTTTGTGTTTCTATTTTCATTTTACTTGCTTACTTGTGGTGGGAGTTCCAAAGCAGAGACCAAGCTGGGGCCCTGGGGCCAGCATTTATTCATTTTTTGAAGAGCAAGAATTTGAACTAAGTTGAAACTATGCAGCTACCAGAATGAGGGGCGGGCTCAGCCAAGGGCTTGCCAGGGCCTATGCTGCTCAGCTCCCATTTTGGGGGGTGGGGGCCAAGGAGGGTTTGAGACAGGGTCTTACTGTGTAGCAGCTGGCCTGGAACTCTGGAACTCGCTATGTAGACTATCCCAGGCTGGTCTTATCTCACAGAAGTCCACCTGCCTCTGCTGGGATGAAAGGTGTGCACCATACCACACCCAGCTCAGCTCCCAATTCTTTAAGAGGAAATACAGGGCTGGAGATGTGGCTCAGTTTATAGAGTGCTTACTAGCCTACAGGAAGCCCTGGGTTTGATATCTAGCACTGCATAAATGGGGTGTGCAGGAGATCAGAAGTTCAAGGTCATTCCCAACTTCAGACACACAAAAAAGGTGGGAATGTTCAATGTTCACTCACTTATCTCTCTCAGCTGCACAAGGGAAGGGAATTCCTCCAGCCCCAAGCTGCGGCCACCTCTGATGGGATAAGCCAGCCACAGCCTCTTGGCTTTGATAAGTTCCTGCTCCTCTCCCCAGCATGCCCTTGCCTACTGCTCCCCGTGGCATGATTTCCTTACTGCCTTTTAGATAGCCCCTCTTCCTTTTCAGATTCCTGTCAAAGCCTACCACCATCCTAAGCGATGGATGTGAATCCTTGTCCCCTCCCTCAGTTAACAGCTGGTTTCTCCATATGTTCTCTCTTCTAAGCACTCAGCTTTGTGAATGGGTGCTCCCCAGTCCCAAAGCCAAGGGCAGACAAAGAAGACAGGCCTCCTCCCCTACACCCTGACTCCCTGCCCTGCAAAGCCCCAGCACTGCCTTCCAGGTACACAAGACACATGATAACGTGGTGACAACTGAGCTCCAGGGCAGCTGACTGAGGTGCTGTCACCAGCCTTTCTACCCAGCACACACCTGTGAGCTGCTGAGAGGCTCTCAAGAGGCCCCCGAGACAAACTAGAACTAGTCTGGGGTCAGACACCTGTTAAATAGGGCCAGATGGTTAATCCAGTTCAGATTTATAGTTCTGAAGAATAAATGGATTATCAAAGTATGCCTTTCCCAATATACCACTTCCAGTATAGGGGTAGAATGCAGGACTTTGTGCATGCTAAGCAAGCACTCTACCAACTGAGCCATAGCCCCAGTTCCCTTTCATACTTGAAATCAAGAACAATCTAATGATCAAAGCCATTGGAAAAAAATCCATTAGCAAAACAAATTATATAACACTGGGGAACTTGTCTAGGCCCTAACATGCAGCTTATAGTATTGGCAAAAACAGCAAATACACGTTCCAGGAAGAGGAAAGTAAATACTCCATACAGCCTGGGCTTGAACCGACTTTTTATTCGTATATTAAAAGAGCAAACAAGTTGGGCATGATATCTGTTTCAGCCTGGTCTACATAGCAGTCAGTTCAAAGCCAGCCAGGGCTACATAGTGAGACCCTGGCAGAAGGGGGCGGGAGGGGGGGGGAGTGTAGCACAAGCATCACAGACAATGCAGAGGGTCTTGCACACCTGACCCAAATTATCCTCTGTCTTTTGAGTGGCTCTTTAAAAGACAAATGTAATTCTGAGTTCCCTGATAGCCAAAGCAAAAAAAAAAATAAATGAGACACCAAAAGAAACAAAAGAAAACATGAATAATTACATAATTTTACTCATTCTGTTTTTTAAAAGATACATTCTGGTTCGTTTTGGAAAAAAAGTTTTCCTAGGTACCTAGTTGCAAAGAGATGAGGGAGGGGCTCCCAAGACCTCAACCCTATAGTTGAGGAGCTGCCACAGATGATGACTGCCAAGGGAGGACGGTTGCTGTGCCCCCATGTGGGCAGCACTAATTGAACTCAGTGGGTTTTTAACTAAAAAAAGTAGAAGTTGTTGCGTGAAATAACATCCTGCATAGTCTAAGTCTAAAAGACACAAGAATCGTTTTTGGATATGGCTGAAGCTTATGCTAAATATGAATAAACTCCCGAGGCATGACATTAAAAACTGATGTACCATCAAAGCACTAATTACTGCTGATGTGACGAGCATAACAGAGTGAAATTCCAGTCACTCCGTCTTGCTAACACTGTCCAGCTTTCAGGCAATGCCAAAAAAGTGTATGGGGCCATGACATTTATTTCAAATAGAACTTCTAGAAGCAACTAAAGCAGTGAGAGGTGGGGAGGGCACACAAAGTAATAATGACTGAATTATGGCCCCATTTCCCTTGTGTCTAGAGGGAAAGTACAGCATGTTTCTACTGACATCTACTTTACAAAAACACACAAAGTGAGCAGTTAAATACTTACATCACCCTCCAAGCTGAGTTTGCTAAGAATTTCGTGGACAGTGGACATTTTGAAAAAAAGCTGCAAAAAAAAAAACAACAAAAAGTCTTTACAAAGAAGCTTTCTTTTACCCCAAAGCACAGCAGTTCAGCAATCCATCACACTAATGTCTTCTTCTTGGACCATTTCATCTGAGACTATTAGAGCAATTTTTTTTCAAACACAGGCAATTCCCAATTGTATGATGGGAAAATTAAAGCTTAGAGTTGGGGTGCCTTAGGTTGGGGGTAGATTTCTACACTAACTACCCAGCTTTTCTCTGGCTCTGCTGAAGCAGGACCTGGAGAGAGTCCTCTGAATGAAAAACCAAGTGGCTTCCTGGGGCAAACATCACTTGTTCAAACAGGCGAGGATGGAATCTTCTATCTAACATGATAAGCACATCATACTTATCATTACTTCTGTGTCACTCATAAGTGATTTCACACAGTAAGAAAGGTGTAATCAACAGCCTCTCCATGCTGCCCTGCTCCCAAATGCACCTTTTAGTGTTAGGTCCAGATCACCTCCTTAATCCAAAGATTCTTAGATGATTCTAGGGCTGGGGAGGTAGCTCCATCCATAAAGTGCTTGCCTTATAAGCATGAGGACCTCAGTTTGATCTCCAGAAACTGCATGACAAAAGCTGGGTGTGCAACATGGGCTTGTAATCTCAGCACTGGAAGACATAAATTCCTGGAACTCACTGGCCAGCAGTAGCCAATGGTGGAGCCCCAGGCCAATGAGAGACTCTCAAAAAACAAGGTGGATGGATGGCACCTGAGGTTGACACCTGAGGATGGCCTTTGGCCTACACACACATGCACCCACACCCACATCCACGCCTACCGCCTCCCACTCCTCCCCAACAAATATGCATACACACAAAGAGGAAATTAGGCTGTTTATGAGAAACTAATAGGTCAATTTTCTGATACAAACACATCCCATCCAGGGTTGAGCTTCTTGCCCTTGGGATTCGGAGTGGCTTCAAGGACATCGTCATCCTCCAGCTAATACACTTCACCATCAGTGCTGCCACACAGATAAATGACTTTCGGGCTTTGTGGCCGCACAGTTCTTAGAAGGGATATGCCACATTTGCCCAACCCCACCATTGAGAGTGCTCAACTGGTAGGAAACTGATTGTTAGAGAGAAAAGGCAGGCCATTCTGCATAATCCTCCCAAAATACAGAACACAGGACAGAGCTGCCTCCTGAGGTGGTCACTAATGATGTTGGGTTTCTCTTTGCTTAAGAGTCTTTGGTACCCATGGAAATTCAGCCCTCTATTCTCTTCAAAGATCTTGCATTGTCTAAATATTCTCATAACACTGCTCTGGAGACAGTATTTGGCATAGATGGGTTTGCCTAAGCAGATTCTAGGCTTGGTATGGGGTAGAAAGGGAGAAGAGTCATCTTTATTTGAGGTTAAGGATGTGCTTTTACAGGAGGTTAATCTTGAACTAGAGCTCTCTCTGTCTCTCTCTGTGTCTCTCTGTCTCTGTCTCTGAACCCTTCAAGTCAGACAAAAAGGAAGCTAATCACAAATGCTCCACTCACCTCCGTTCCCTCTCCCCTCACACTGCCTCCTCTCCCTTGTGTGCCCTGTGTGTCCACATCTGCATGGTAAGAAGTCTTGCTGTATGTCAGGTGCGGTTCATCCATAAAATGAAATTTTATTTGGTGATAAGAAAAATTGTGTTATCAAATCCATGAAAACACATGGAGGAACTTTAAATGTACATTGTTACAAGAAAGAAGCCAGTCTGAAGGGCTGCATATGGCTGTGATTTCGACTACATGGCTTTCTAGAAAGGCTGTACTATGGAGACAGTGAAATAATGAATGGCAGCCAGGGGTAAGGGAAGAAGAGATAAAAGGTAGATGACAGAGGATCTGTGTGTGAGTGTGTGGGCATGTGAGAGTGTGTGTATGTGTGTTGATGTATGTGTGTAAGAGTGTGACTGTATGTGAGACACTGTGTCATTGTGTGTTTCAGTGTGTGTGTGTGTGACTGTGATTATGTGTGTGTGACTGTGTCAGTGGTAAGTGTGACTGTGTGTGACTGTGTGAGCATGTGTGTCTTGTGTGTGCACACACATGCACCCTTGTTCATGCCTGTGGAGGCTAGAGGCCTCTGGTGTCCTCTGGTGTCACTCTCAGAAACAGCATCATCTCCTTTGACACAGATCTCTCATTGGCCTGAAGCTCACCAATTAGGCTAGACTGGCTGGTCAGAAAGCCCCAGGAATCTACCTGTCTCCACCTTCCCAGCACTGGGATTATAAAAGTACATCACCACAACCGACTTTCTTACATGGGTTCTGGGGATGGAACTCAGATCTTCCAAGCACGTTACTGATTGAAATATCTCTCTTCCCAGACCCCGCACAGAGAAGGTTGTTTTGTTTTTGTTTTATTGAGACAGGGTCTCACTATGCAGCCCTGGCTGGCCTGGAATGTATAGACATCCCCCTGCCTCTGCTCCTGAGTGCTGGGATTAAAGGCTTGTACCACCACACCAGCCTTACACAGAGAATTTTTAAGGCAGTGAAATTATTCTGTATGGTGATGATACTGATGGTGAACTCACATCATTAAAATGTATCACATACCGAGGAATGTATAAGACAGAGGGTGAACCCTTAACATACATACGGCCTTTGTGTGATTATGACATGTCACTATAGGTTCACTGAGTCTAACAAACATGTTATTGTGGTGTATGATGTCAACACCGGGAAAGCTACATATGTGTGGAAGCTCCCCATACTGTCTGTTCAATGTTGCTGTGAACCTAAAACTACTCTAAAAAAATAGAACTTAAAGCTGAGCACATCACATCTACCTGGCCCTTAGTGGTAGAGGCAGGAGGAGAGGCAGTTCAAGCCTGGGATACATGAAACCCTGTTTCAAAAAATTAAGAAATAAAGAAAAAGAGGGGCTGGAGAGAAAGCTAGCAGCTAAGAGCACTGACTGTATTTGCAGAGGATCTGGGTTTCATTCCCAGCACCTACATGGAAACTAACAACCACCTGAAACTCCAGTTCCAGGGGATCTGACACCTTCTTCTGGCCTCTGTGGGCACTGCACAACACAGGTGCACTTATATACATGCAGACAAAACACCCATACATATAAAATAAATAAATAAAAAAAATTAAAACAAGAAAAAATGTAAATCTATTTTTAAAGCCATGTTCTATAGCTCTATTATCCAATACCCTAGTTACCATCCCCACATAGCCATCAAGCACTTGAAGTGTGTCCAGTCCAGATAGAGATGTTCTAGACACAGGAAGGACACCCCAGAGGTTGGAAACTTACTATGAAAAAAAGTGCGGACTCTCCAGAGAATAACTTTTACAGTACTTGGTGGGGTTTTTTTGTTGTTGTTGTTGTTTTTGTTTTTGTTTTGGTCTTTTCCAGACCAGGTCTCCCTGTAGCCCCAGCTGACCTGGGACTCGCTATGTAGGCCAGGCTGGTCTTGATCTCATGGCAATCTGCTGTCTCTCCTGAGTGTCTGTACCAAAGGTATACACCACCATACCTAGCTTTTTTTTTTAAATGTGACTACTAGAATACTTGGGATTGTATGCACAGCTCATATTCTATGTCTACACAGAACAGACTATGACTAGCACTCTACAGAACAGTACTTGTCTAGAGGACCCCAGAAAGCCAGGGTCAATCACAATCCAAATCCTTTTCCAAAGCCAGGTCAACTGAAGCCTATATATTGAGTTAATGTCTTCATTGACAGTGTGAGAAATGCCCATCCTCCGCTTGGGCCCAACCTGCCAGGGTCTCTCATCATGAATATCCACAGCAGAAATGAAAGGTTGTTATCTGCCTTGCAGGATTCTAGACCAAAAATGCCATCCAAAATAAAGCCAATGAAAATCGCCAGCAGGCGCATCCAAGAAGCCAGTTGTTTCTGCTTCTGGATGTGGATGAAAGTCCTTGTATTTAGTAAATGAGGCTCCTCACCAGGGTTCTGGTGTTTAGGCAATCTCAACTGCAGAGCACAGCAAGTTTTTGTTCTTTCAAGCTGTCTTTCTAGCTGTGAGCACCGGCTTTGCAGACGGCTGCCCACGTGGAACACCTCCCCCAGTACTGGGCAGACCAGACAATCTGATGTGCTACTTCACACTCTCTATTCATGCCAGTTCTCCCACAGCCACAACACCTTGAGAGGACAAAGAAGAGGGATTTTGGAAATCTTGATTTCTGTTCTACTGCTTATAATTAGACTGTTCTTTCATCAACTGGGTCCTCCCTACCCTTATCAATGAAATCTCTCCATCTGATATTGTCAGAGAGTTTGAAATCAAGCCCAGTGTTTCCTCTAATTCCAACAGAGTGCACTTCACAGATTAGCATCAGAGCCCAGCCACACCACCCTCTCTCTACTCTCAAGCAAAAGGAGACTGGTGGGGCTGGAGAGCTGGCCTGGTGGTTAAAAGCACTGATTGCTCTTGTGGAGGACCTAGTTTGGTTCCCAGAACCCCCACAGCAGCTTCCATAACTCCTCCAGGAGCTGTGACACTGTCTTCTGGCCTTCTCAGGCACTGGACACATGTGGTATACATACACACACATAAAAAAGTAATCTTTGTTTAAAAAAAAGGGAACACAGTAGATTTTTTTTGGTGGGGGGGGTCTTGTTTTTTGAGACAGGGTCTTCCTGTAGCCTCAGGTGACCTGTAACTCACTATGTAGACCAGGCCAGTCTTGAACTTACAGAGATCCACCTACCTCTCCCTCCCAAGTGGGATTTAAAGGAGTGCTCCACCACGCCCGGCATTGATAGATTTTTTTTTTTTTTTAGAGGAAAAAGAAGTGACCGGAGCCATCCTGTTCCTTGCCTCTCCTCTCCTTACTTTACCTCTTATCCCCTCCTCTCTCTTCCTCTTTCTCTCTCTTTCCTTTTTTAAAAACGGGTGCCATGGGGGTGGGGAGATGTCTCCATGGATAAAGCATATGCTACACAAGCATAAAGATCAGCACTCGGATCTCCAGAGCCCAAGTAAAAGCCA